AAACCCTCACCCAAATGATGACATTAACCCGCTGCGACCGCGACTCGTCCGCGTCGACGTGCGCCCAATTGACTGCTGTTTGACAAACGCAAATAGATATGTCTGACACTTTTTCGAATTCATATTTTACGACCTGGTTTTATCATACAAATTGTTGGTGTTGTTGTTGTTGTTGTCGACGATGTCGCTCATACATGTATGTAGAATTATTAGGGGGCTTTTCTTTAAGTGGCGTATTCCTCATGCAAATAAATAACAAGTTCATGAATTTATGACCCACAGACAAAGTGAATTTTCAATTTCGTGTGTGAATCGCCAGACAACGAGTATCGCTATCTGATCTTTTTTGTTTATACTCGTAATACTATTTTGATGCATGAGGCCGTAACATGCATTTGGTTTGTTGTTATTGTTGTTACTGTCTCTGAAAGTTATGTAGTTTGAGTAATTCTTTTATTTATAGGCTTCTCAGTTGCAGAATTTAACAATTTAAACTGTTTCAGAAACAATTTCAATTGAATTTAAAAACAATGTATATCTAAATAAATTGCAACTTCAGCAAAGAATTTGGGATCAGAAAGAGTTGTTCTTTTTATTCCCTTTCCAAAGCTACAGAATTTCAAATAACTTAAAGAAAGGTTATTTTCGAAAAGGTTTTTTTTTTGTGGCAGAAAACTTTGATTTATTTTTAAAGAGTTCTTATTGATTTTAATTATTTTAATTATAATGACATACTTAATACATACATACAGATTCAAATTCACAATTATAATGACACACTTGTGAACTTGAAATCTGCCTGCAAACTATTAACATATCTAACCAGTTCTAAAGTTCCTATAAAACTAAAAAAAAACGTAATAAAAAAGTAATATTCATAGAATATTTTTGAACCAAATCCATAAACATAAACATTATTTACTTATTTATATTTATTTCTATACTGAAATCAAACATTATTTACTTATTTATAGTTATTTCTATATTGAAAGAAATTAGTAATGTACGCTATAAATGTGCTGTCGATCTGTTTATCCTACTGTTAAAAGAGCTTTTCCTTAAGAGTTAAATGTAAATCTTTTGATAGTTAAATGCAAATAGAAATAAATGCTTCAAATCCAAAATAAACATGTTTCAAAAACTGATTTAGTTAAGCCGCTGTTTTGATAAAAACATTAATAAGAGTTTACTAAACAACCAATTATTCAAGATCCTTCTATTGGTTAGTAGATTCCCTATTGGTTTAAACAGGATTTTATTTCTCCGTCAAAATATAAAGACAATCGGATGGAGAGAAGCTGAGGAGTCAAAAAAAGAACAAAACTTCTTCTAATATGATTCTGAAACCAAGCCCCATGTGTCGAACACAGGAACCACAACCCAAAAAAAGTTATTCATGATTTATATTAGTGTTCTTCTTTACTTTTGGAGGTTCCTTGTATGTTCTAAAATATATTTACTTTACAAAATTCCTAGATATTATTCTTCAAATTCAATTTGGATATTAATATTTACAAAACTTTAACAAACCTTTGGCTACTTCCACTTTAATGTAAAATTTAGCGAGAATAAAAAAGCTCAAATTAAAAATCGGCTGTTGATTTGTTATTTTTAAGTTTATGAGGGCGGTTCTGTCAGCATTTTGAATACGCGTTTTATTTGGAAATGTGGGGCTTGTAATGATATCAAGAGCATTGCAAAATCTTTGGAATTAACGGAATATGCGGGCTCTTATCGACAAATGAACTGTTCATGTTTTGTGGTAAAAAGTTTGAAACGAGAGTCATTTATTTTATCTGAGCATGTGCTCAACGAGTTTTCAAATATAAAAAATAAAAAATAAAGGCACGTACTTAAATCAAATTAATTGAATTTTATTTGCTATTTAATATTAAAAATTAATGCAGATTAACATTCTTTTAAATAAAAAAAATAGAAGAATGTAAAATTAAACTTAAGGGGTTTATACTTTAATCAGAAACTCAAACTCTTAATAAGAAACTCAAGAAACTCTCTCTCTCTCTCTCTACCCCGGGCGACAAAAATATAAAATAAACCTAAAAAAAATTAATTGGCTAAGACAAAGCAGCAACAACAACAACAAATCGACTTATGGTGATAAGACTGGAAGAACAGACTCATAAGTATAAACCAGAAGGAATTATTAAATTTTATTTTGAATATACAATTTATTGAAAATATTTCCTAATTGAAATTAACATTATTATGCAAGTATTATATTTTGATTCTTTCGACATATCAGCATTCTCAATTTTCTCTCACACTTATGATTAGAAAAGAATCGGTTAGAACGGAAGCGCTCGGTTCATAATTTTGCAATTCAAAACAAGAGTTCAAAAATGAAATTAACATTATTTTACAAGTATGATACTTGTATTTTGATTCTTTCGAGAAATCAGCATTTGTAATAATTTCTCATATGATTAGACAAGAATCGGTTAGAACGGAAGCGCTGTAAGTATTTTGATTGATTCTTTCCATATGTCAGCATTCGCAATAATTTCTCATATGATTAGACAAGAATCGGAAGCTTTTGGTTCATAATTTTGCAACTCAAAGCACAAACTAAGAATAATTTTACAGAGCTCTTTAAGCTAATATCTGGCTTGACAATTAAGACTTGCTTTTAGCCAAGCAACCAAGACATCAACTGTCGTTTGCAAAACGGTTGCCAATTTCGCATTGAATAAAGAAACAAAAACAAAAAAAAACTTAAACGACAGATAGCAAGTTAATTTCAAAAACCCGCCCAAGGAACCACGTACTTCCCCAACACACACACACACACACAGTGCACACAAAGAAAGCAATTCACAGTCAGAAAACGTTGTCTTTGTTGTTGTTGCTGCTGCTGCTTTTTTTGTGGGTGCCGTCAACAGCGGAAAGCGGCCAAAAAAAGCGCAATGTCGAAAAAGGGGGGCGCCACTTGCCAGCCACAAGCCAAAAAAAAAAAAGAGGCAACAAAGTCGTCGCCGTCCTCGTCGTCGTCGTCGCTTTCAATTATTGCCGTGAGTTTCTTTTATTTTTGTGTGGCCAAGACAGTAACACACACATACACACGTATATATTATATATATGTGCTATAAAGCCATTAGCTTAATGTGCGCTTATTGCGCACGCTTTGGAGCGGCGAAAGGTGGGCGTAGGTGGGTCAGGCTGAGTGGGTGGTTGTGGTGTGGTTTGGTGTGGTAGTGGTGGTTGTTTTTATGGCAAAAGCCACCCTCACACACACACACACACACACAGCAGGCAACCACAAGGAGCAAAGTTCGCACTGTCTGACTACAGCCGCACACTCCAACCCAGCGCGGACGACCCAGAAGTTGCACCACAAACCGCAAGCAAACAAACAAACAAACAAACAAACAAACAAACAAACAAACAAGCAAACATGTCGGTTGGTCCGTTGATCCGTCTGTCGGTCGCTGGTTGGCTGCCTGGCTGCCTGGCTGGTGGTGCAAATGAGATAGCAAGCTGTGGCAGAGCAGCGCAGAGCGATGCGTATCAGGCATTTGTGTATCTGTATCTCTCGTTTTGTGTATCTGTGTATCTGTATGTGTGTGTGTGTGTGTGTGTGTGTGTGAATAATGAATGCGAAGATGTGCACGCCCTATTATCCTGGCCATGGCTCCTCCCCAAAAACTGCAGCAGCAGCAGCAGCAGTAACAACAGCAACAACAAGAACAATGACTGTCGTCTATCTGTGCGTCGTCAGCGCTCGTCTGTGTATCTCTGAGATACATAGCAGCTGCGTTCGGCTGCTGCGCTGCTGCTGTGCTGCTGTGCTGCTGCAGCGCCGTTCGCGTCGCTGCCAATTTCTGATAGGAAAATGTTGCCGAGCTAAAATAAGTGCCGAGCTGCTTGCTGCCTTATATACATATATCTCTATATACATATGTGTGTCGGGGTGTGTGTGTGTGTGTTTGTTTGTTTGTATCTCAGCCTGTTATGTGCTTATCCTTTTGTGGCTAGACAGAGCCGCGCAGCCAACAACCAGCGGCAAGTCGCCTGCAGGCTAGCTGGCTGGCATCCTGGCAGCCTCAAAACTTTTGGTTGCATTCGTATAGGAAAAACGAATATGCGCTTCGGCTATTCAAGGCATCAGTTCGGCTCTCACACTACCCGCTATGTGTGTGTGTGTATTTGTGTGTGTGTGTGTGTGTGTGTGTGAGATAATAATGCTTAGAAAACTGACACAGATTCCTTTCCACACACACATTCATTCTGCATTTGTGGCTGCCACATACATAACTGCAGGGTAGGCACAAATACTCAGACACACACACACACACACACACACACACTTGCAGTCGGAGAGGAGAGCGCAGCAGAGACGGTTGGCGTTGATTTTCATCCCCTGCTGTTTGTTGTGCGTTGGCAGATAGCATCATCATTATCAGCATCAGCTGGCGGCAGGATCATCATGATGAGGATGCCACCACCAGGGCTGCCAGCCAGCCAACCAGCTCATGCCCAAGGCAGCAGAAGCTGCAGCAGCAGCAGCAGCAGCGCTGGCAGCGACGTCAACAGCAGCAGCAACTGGCAAGCAGCCTGCCAGACCATCACTTAGCCCAGTCAGTTCGTAGCTGTGAGCTCGCAATCGCAGTCGTTGTGGCAGCCGCAGTCGCCCGCCACTCATACCACTCGTGCTTATCGCAACTTCGGAGCGCAATCACAGTCTCGGACTCGCTCTGCCCGCGTCGCGTATCCGTTGGATTCGACACTCAGTCTTGCGGAGACAACCGGCAGATAGAGACGAGACACACCGACACACAAAGAGAGCAACAAAACAAAAAGAAAGAACAAATATAACGGATTAAGGCAAATAATTAAATAGCAAAACACGCATACGCACCGAGGGCCGTTAAAACTTAATCATCGCACAGTTTTCGTGAACAAAAAAAAAAAACAGTCTTCAGTTAACGGGCCATGTCTGAACATCGCATACGAATGCACGTATTTTAAAAGCCAAATCGATTAATTGTGATATTGTTGTTACTTGTATTATAATTATTACAAGGAAAGCCATCATCGCAAGCATTTGCGATGTTATGCGATCGATTTGTTATGTCAGGTTGGTTCACCATAATGCGGAACAAAATATATATCTATATATATCTATACATACATATTATTAGTATGTTTGTGTTGTGTTCTAAACAGTGCTTGTGTCTGTACCGCGTATCTACATATATAAGTATTTTTATGGCGAATGCCACAGTTTTAAATTACAAAAGATGTTACTGAACATTTGTGAAAGTGCCGATTGAGACACATACCAGAGCAATGATGTATGCTCTGCATATCTGAGGCAATAAAGTTTTGTGTTGTGGCAAGAAACAATCCCTATTTAGTGCAAAATAACTGTGTAAATTCATATTTGCTCTTATGATGGACTCAAGGACATTAGACTGGTTTGCTTAATGTTTGAAGAATGATAAGAGATCGAAACGTGCTGAAAAGTTTTAATATTCTATAAACTCAATATATAGCTTATAAGCACTTTTGATGTTGCCAATCATTTCTATTACTAAGCATATATCCACATATTGTGAAGAGCAATTCATCGAAATCTGTACTTCATATACATTTTCACGTATTGTGGAAAGCATCTCATTGGAATTTAAGTTGAACACAAGCTGAATAGAGAGGCCAAAATAGAGAATACAAAATCCATAATAGTTAGAACTACTTCTCATTTGAATCTTTTGCTGACTAAAGAGACTGAGCTTGTAGAGTTTAAGGCAATTAGAGCCAACTGCTGCTTGGGACATAGGCAGGCGTTTCTAAACTAAACACATTAATTAAAATATTTATAAAATATGCATCGTTGTGTAAGAGGCATCTGTATAGTCCAATATGCTATCAATTTTAATTCTTAACGTTGTATTTTAACATTTCTATACTTGTAGATCCTTTTAAATCATGACTCTGGAATATAGATATAGAAAGCTTAAGTCAATATTTCAAATACAACTCTTAATCACACTGTTTTAAAAAGTTTGTCCAATTTTAGATTTCAACTCATAATGTTAGAAATAAATAGAGAAAATCTCGGCAATATTATAGTATTTATATATTTTATGCTCTTTAATAGAATATATTTTAAAAGACTTTACTTAATTGTCTGTATAATTAGAATTGGTTCATTTTTGTAACAACATACTCTGTTGTTGTCCTTTTCTTCCTCTTTTCGTCCACTTTTCTGCATTAAATTTAGTGTTCTTCCTCAAATTTAGTCACAAATACTAGATTTATTATTTATTCATTTAAGTATTTATATATTTATTGTATCTACTGTAATCTACTGTATAATCAGAGTTTGTAAAAATTGTTTACAAAAATTGTAACAAAACAGTAGTCCTTTTTTTTTCTTTTCGTCCACTTTTCTATCTTCTTCGTATCTTCTTCTTCAAATTGAGTCATTTATAATTTTTTTGTATTCCTAATGAGGTGAATATGTTTTATATAATCTATAAGGAGAGTTTGTTCATTTCTGTAACAACACAGTCATCCTTTTCATTCTTCTTTCATCCACTTTTCTCCATTACAAGTATCCTCTTTTTCAGATTTAGTCAACAAATTCTAGTTTTCTTAGTTTTTCATCTAAGTATTTATAATTTTCGTACTCTCTAATGAGGTAAACAGTTATCAGAAGGCTTTACTTAATCGACACGAGTTGGTTGATTTTTGTAAGCACAGTAGTTCTTCTTCTTTAGTCAACAAATACTGCCTACACATAGTTAGGAATTAAGTTGGTTTGTGCTATGAATAGTCTGCGAAAAGGGGACAGGTATGGCATTGGCTTTCTATTTACCAGACCTTTTCAAACTCATGCTGATGACATCAGGAAAACCCAATTGCATCCCAAAACTTTCTGCACAGGTGGGTGGGTGGATGGCTAAAAATATCTCTAAGAAATACGGGGGCTCCCGAAATCAAGTTAAAGAAAACAATAGTTAAACAGAAAATCGTTTTAAATAGAAAAACGATAGTGAGGGTCTGGTTGGCAAGCGGCGGCACTCGAGTGGGTGCGAAGATAGGCGGTTGCGGGCACTTGAAACATTTCGCTGGTCCGTGCGAAGTCCGCCAGGGGCTGATGCTGCCACAGTGCCGCCTTTGGTGAAAGCAAATAGCGTGTGCCACGCCGCCAGCACAGCTGAAAAGGAAAAAGGATGTGCGAAATACGGCAGGTTGTTGCAACGAATCCTGAAGCGAGACCGCAATTGGTTGCGGTACACGATTCGGTGTCGGTGTCGGTGTCCGAGTCCGTGGCCGTGGCCGGGTGTTTGTAGACAAGTTAGTTTATTTATTTGGCAGATACTTATCGCTTGCGTTTTGACAAGCGTTCTTGTGTTTCGATGCTTGTTTGCTGCAATATCTATTTCATTTTTATTTCGGGCCCCTTTCAGTTCCGTGTTATCTACCGGTTGTTGTACCTCGGACACTCGGCACTCGGACGCGTTGTCATTTTCTGTTTAACAGCTCAAATTACGATTTAGTTTCAAGTGTTTAAACAAGTCGCGGGCCCAACAACAAAGCAACACTAAACTAAATAAATAATCGATGCGTAATTTGTGCGATTTGTGGCGATTTGATGATTCCAACTGAAGAGTTGCGCTACTTTATGACGACTATAGTAGTAGGTGGGCTGTGTGCAAACATTCTGAATATCAATTGAATGCTCATTGAAAGACTGTTTGAAGATATGTTAGCTAAGCAGATGAAAATGTTGATTTCAGTTAAGGGGGATGTGAGATCCTATTGTACTATAAATGGATTTGTTACGTACAATGGATTTGTTACAGCTGCTTTTAAATAAGTCCAATCTTTGAAGATAGATCTAGACTCTGAAGCGCTTAGTGTGGCTGTAATGCAAATATATAATTTCAATATTTCCATGCTCAGCTTATAATTTGAAACACTTATTCGTATATTTGAGAACAAATTCTTTAATTTCCTTGCTCCTCAGGGTAGTTATATCTAAATTTTTCGCAATATTTAACAGAAGTTTGAATAATCAGCGAACATTTAAGTCCCCTTCTAATTTAAATGAATTCTTTGCAAAAGGATTCTTCTATTTAATCGTTTATGCCTGACAGTTCAGCTTTTAAGGCAAAAATTGAAGAGTAAACAAATACTAGTATTCTATTTCTATTTTATAATTAAATTTGAAATAAATACCTTATATATATTTCGAAATATTTATTTAATTCGGTTAAAACAAACTGCATATGATTGCATTTCAGAAGTAAATAGTTTGCCGTCTTTTTTAACTCATTTGCGGGCCAAATTATCTAGGATGTCATTCAACACAACCACTTTTTAGCAAATAACCGATCAGATAGGCAGCAGACAGAACAACAGATGGGTAAAAAAATATATATATTGATACAAGCTCGTTTACAGTGTATTGAATTTTACAACTCAAAATTTCGATTTAAAAGGCATTTTTTAAAAGCTCTAATGCTTTAAACATTTAACAACACTGTAACAATTTTTTTCTATCATATCGATAGCTCATTGAAAATGATTATGCTATGAAGAAAGCTAACAGAAAATAGTAATAGTAATCATTTAATTTAACGGATTAAGCGAAATCGGACACTTAGTTAAATCAACTCTTTCCCGTAATGATTAGAGCGCACCTAGAAGTCATAATAACCGGGCCAGTCGTACTCTCAGATAGGAAACAAAGCATTATCGAACTCGTCACCAGCAACAACAACAGCAGCAGCAGCAGCAGCAGCAGTAGAAAGTTTCAGAGACAAGACTTGGACTGAACAGGTCTCTGTAAGTGCGTGCTGGGATGAGTAGTGGACAGGTGTTGGTTCTGGCGATGTCAGCAATAGATAGTCGCTTGTCAATCAGCTGGCGGGTTAGTTGGCTGGAATTGCCAAATCGATGAGACTGAGACTAAGTGCGAACACGAACGATGACAACATCAACAGGCCTCGATTGTGATGCCCGATGGACAACACTAGATAATGCCAATTTTATTAGTAACATATAGGCGACGATTGTCAGCAAATGATATGACAGGCACAACTTAAGGCTTTATCTATTCTATTTATGACAACAGCACATATTGATTAGGAGTTTCCATTTTTCGGTGGTGCGACCATTCAAGTGTTGCTTCTTTTGTGGTTGGTTGCTTAGTTCGTCGAACGTCATAGTTTTTAATCGCTGATCTTAATTCTTCTTCTTATTTTCATTTGCTTGCAGTCCCTGGCGGCGACGATTACGCAGCAGCGAGCGATTTGCGACATCATCATCACCACCAGCCTCATCAGCCTCATCAGCATCATCAGCATCAGCACCAGCCTCAGCATCAGCATCAGCAGCACCTCCCGCCACACTCACATCTGCTGCAGCATCATCCACATCTGGATCTTGGCAGCGGCACGGCCCCGCCCTTTGTGCCGCCGCCCATACATCTAACAGCGAATGCTCGCAGCATGTCGCCCCACAATCCTTCAGCCACTGGCGCCACCGCCGAGGACTACGAGCGCAACTTGCCAGGATCAGCTGTAGCCAGTGCCCAACCCATGTCCTCGCCATCCTCCTCCCAGCCGGCGCCCAACCAGCCCATCACCCCACAACTGCCCAGCACGGAGCACATGGCACAGTTCTTGAAGGGACATCCGACGGCGGAGCGCTTCCTGCTGGATGTGGCGTGCCTGCGCGAACTGCTCTGTGATCTCGATGTACGTGATATGGGCGTCTATGCCAAGGGCAGCCTGCGCCGCGGCACACGATTCGGCCCGTTTCGGATGAACCCCTGCCGGGAGCCCAGCGATCGTCACTTGGCATGGGAGGTGAGTCAGAGAACTATTTACCAATTATTATCATAAGGTGCAGGCAATGTTGAAATTTATGGAGATATCCAATAGATAGCTGCTGCTTAAATGCTTCTTAGAAGAAACTAAACCTTGTTGGACTAATCGATAAAAAGAGAGAACAGCTTCTCATACCAATCGATATCAACAGGGAATAATCACTTAATTATTACGCAGAACATCAGAATAGGAAAATAGTGAGAAAGAGCGAGAACATGCTAGCTCCTTTGGTGGAGGTTGTTAAGCCCTTAAGGCATAAGAATATGATCAACCTTTCTGCTTCTGCCAGAAGATCTCGAAATTGGCGCAAAAGTTCTGCCCAACAAGGTCTACCTTTTTGCCGCTAATTACAAGTCCGGCAGCACCAGATGCTCGGGGAAACATCAAAAACTTCACATGTGTCGACACAATTTGAAATTTATATTGATTTGCTCAGACAAGCAAAAAATTTGCACACAAATTTTGTAATTTTCTTTATCAAAAACGAGTCAATACTAAACAAAATATAACTTTTTAGTGCAACATGCTTCTTTTGGAATTCATTTTAAGGGTTATTTCCAAAAAAGGAAGAGTTTGTGTGCAAATTATTTACATGTGGGGCCAGAACTGTAGTTACAAAGACAAACGGAAAATGTAGTTCTTCTGTTTTTATAGGAAATTTTTCTACGCTGCAGAACATTTCATAAGGTGTGGTCAGATGGTCAAATAATTTGCTCACAGATTTGTTACTTTTCAAAACATCATGTGTCTTTAATTAAAATAAGAATTCTATAACTAAATTAAACAAACATCTTTGGAACTACAACCGAAACGAATTAATGTGAAATTTATTTGTTTGACGCCGAAACTTAAATAATAATAATTTTCGAAAGATATAGTTTTCCTCATTTTGATGCAAATTTGCAATTTTCAGTTGTTGCTGTGCTGTGTAAATCATTGTCACAATTTAAGCTACGGTCACACATGCAAACAATTTGCATACAAATGTTTGTTATTTTATACGCATGTGTTGCCTTTGAAAAGTAATTTGCAAAAATGTTTATGGTACCATAAAATTCATTTTCCATTAAACTAACTACTTTTGTATGTCATTTTTGTAAAATCCGATTAATTTGCTTGCAAATTATTTGCCTGTCTGAACGTAGCTTTACCTTGACAACAGTTTGGAGGAAATATTGTTGTTTCTTCCGAAAACAGCAAGAAATATGTTTAAACAATTTGGCAGTTCATTTTTTCTTGAGGTATTTTCTTGATTTTGGTTTTCCTGCCTTTTTGTATGTTCAATTCAAATTCCACACTTGATCATAAGGCCCTCTTGTATATATATACTATGGCTATGCCTTATTCCGATTTAAAATTCGTGGACATGATGGTCAAAATAAACTAAATAATATCTACTAAAATATGGCACATACTTTAGTGCGGAAATGTATTTCCTCACATCAAGAGTCTTACCAAACATAAATCATAAAAAAGCACTCCATTATCATTTCTAAGTTCCGCTCAGACAACTCAGAGACCTTATGCGAGTGAGTAAGTGTGTAGATAAGTTGTGAGTCTTAGCAGCGAACGGAAACAGCAATACGAGGCCGCCACACACCATAGATATGATCAGCAATAAGATATAGCTATAAACAGTGTGTAGTTTGCAGTTATGGGCATAAGAAGACTTTGAAGCGACCATTGCTTGAGTTATTTGAGAGCTGAGCCTAGCATTGGCAAGAAGTTGTTGTCAGGCAATGTGATTGTCAGCCTAATCCTGCCAAGACACACACACATACACAGACACAGACATAGGCGCACGTGTGAACTAAAGGGACGAGCGAAGGCAGGAATAACATGTACGAGTGTGTCCTCTATTCATAACTTTATTAAAAAGAGGCGAACATTTTTGCACGGTGGCACAAACATGGCACAGTCAATGGGCAAGAAAAATATTTACGCGCCGGAGATAATCTCGAAAAGTGTTGGGTTCCACGCCACTAAAAACCAAAAACTAAAAACTGCGCGAACAAAACAGCTTCAAATTGCCTGAGGGCTGCTACAGATACAGATACGGCCAATGTATCTGTCAAAACGGAAATGTGAACGCAAAAAGTGCGCTTGATTTGAGGATCATCCAAAGGAAAAGGATCAGCGTGCCTCTGTTTCTGTATCTGCGTCTGTATCTGTATCTGTGTCTCTGTGTGTGTGTGTGGCTCGAGTGGCAAACAGCGTCTGAGGAACAACAATAATATTGTTGCAATACCTGAATGACACTCTCTATGGCTGTTTTAGGTAGCGGTATGAGGCCTCTGTCTAACAATTGTCAACAGCACTAGGCGCGATAATTTGATTGGATTGTCTGTCAGTTTGTCTGGCACGGGAGGGAAGGGAAAAAGTGTCAGTTGACGACTGAATGACTGTTTGGCTGACTGGCTGACTGACTGACAATCGATCGAAGGGTTTTTGCGCATGTGCCGCTACCACTGCCGCATCGTCCCAAACTAATTGGAATCATCAGCAGACCTCGAACTTAAGCCTCATTTAGGGTACACTTTGTGTGGACTTAGCCCTGGTGCCTGGGATTAGGCCCAACCGAACCGGAACCCACATTTGACTGACAATTGAGCGCACACATACGAGTAGCTGCTCCGGCCGGCTAATCAAATCTATTTCCAATCGTTTGATTTTCCACAGCCCGCCACCCAAAAAAAGAAAATGCGACCATTTTTTTGTGCGAAAATTGCGCAAAAATCGCTCACTACTTCTTTTTTAACGGGATTAAATTTCAAATGGAAATTCGAGCTGGGCTCGCTAAAGGAAAACCCCGTGAAAAACCATGAAATGTGCACACATGTGAAAGGCTTAACGAATAGGTTGGGAAAATGTGTGACCGATACTCGCAATTACAAACGCTGGCAATCATCATCATTTGAAGCCACTAATTAAGAATTGAATCAATAATTGAATCGCCGAATCTTCAATGTTCTAGATAGGTTGAAAATAATCTTTTTCGATGTAATCAGATCAGAACTAAAAATAAAGTAAAATAGGCTGCTCTACCTATTTTGTTAGTTAATTCATTATTTCATTTCATTGCATTTATTTATGACATGTTTTAATGCTGATCTTCATTTGTAGCCACTAGAAAAGAACTGTATCAGTGATTGAGGTACCGAATCTTCAGTATTCTAGATAGGCTTAAAATAATCATTAACGATATAATCAGAACGGAATTGGTAGAATAGTCTGTTTTATCAGTTAATTCATTATTTCGTTTCATTGCAAAGATTAACATTCATTTATGACAAGTTTTAATGATGATTTGAATTCTTTCATGTTTTAAGGCACGTTTTTCTTTTTAAAATTACTTGTGGACTATATAGCACTGATAAAAAAGAACAGTGCAATAAATACCACTGCGTTGAACGCAATGGTTTATACGATTCGTTGCGCAATAAAACTTTTCAACATAGATATTTTTTTCTTATTTGCAATTGGAGCTCAAATGGTAGGGAAAGAGAAGTACAAGCACTTCAAACACGCTGCGAAAATAGATTTGGAATGCCGAATTAATTTAAGACTAAAATCTTTCTAGAATTTCCATATACCCGTATCATGTATTAAAAAAGCCCAAATTTTTAATAAAATTCCATTATGAAGCTAATAATTATACTTTATGATTTCTTTCACGATAATGATTGAAAATATTGGCACAATTGCAATATATATAATCTTATGTCAAATTAAGAGCTTGTATCATTTGTGACCTTTGAATTAAAAGTTCAGTTTATAGTTATTTGCATTCCTTTAGTCCTTAATACTACTAGTCTATATTCAATACTGCACAGCAGACTCTTGTAAGTTTTGTTTTGCATATTAATGTAGAGAATTAATTGTGCTTATAAATAAGTATTTAATAGTTTATTGCTTAACGTGATTTGATTCTCGCTGCTCGTGATTTGTTATGCGTGAGTCGAATTTTGTAGACGCGCATCATTGGCTAGGAAGTTCAATCCATTCCCATATCTCACACACACACTCAAACCACAAATATTCGCAGCTTCCTACATACATATGCATTTATATAGATGTGTATATGTGTGCGTGTGTGTGTGTAAGTGCACTTGAATTGACTTTTTTAACATAATAATTTTATTTTTTGCTTGCATAAGCCACGGCGCGCGCACTTCAAACGTTGTTAACTTAATTTTTGGAGCGTGCAGCACATATGCTCTTCGCCTCACACTCTCCCCAAAACTCTCCACAGAGTGCAGACTCTCCCACTCAAGAGGGCGCACACACGCACACGCACACGCACTCGCAACTCACCCACCACTTAATAAAGAAGAAAAAAAAGAACAACAACTGCAAAGCGCCGTTTTTCCAAATGACTTGATAGACAAGAGCAAGCGCAAGAGGCAAGAGGCTGTGTAGACGAATGAACGTCGACAAAGACGTCGACTGCAGCAGCAGCAGCATATAGGCAAAGTCATGCAACAACAACAACAACAAAAGTTTGTGCATTTTGCCAAATGTGTGTGAGTGTGTGTGTGCAGTTTGTTTAGCGTTCAACGTCTAAGGCGCTGTTTATATTTTTTTTTGGGCAAGCCACAGTTGGCGATTTCTGTAAATTATGCGTGTTTAGCAGTGCATTGTTGTTGTTGTTGTGGTTGCTGCTGCTGCGCTGCCCGCGCTGACGTTTGTATTTGTATACAAAAACTGTCGGCGGTTTTTGCTCACTTCATTCCCATTCGTTGTTGCTGTTGTTGTTGACCTTGGCAGGGGCAGACTTGAGGGCGGCGTCTTGCTGTGCTGTTGGGCTTTGTGTTACAAATCGCCACGGCAAGTGATATTTGGGTTAATTCGAGTGCCGCGTTCGCAACAAGTAGTTTGCATTCTTCTTCTTGCGTTTTTATTGGCTGCCTTCTACGAGTTTTCTTTGTTGTTTTAAGCTAAAATTGTTGTTTTAGAGTGGCTTTGGGCGTAATATGTGCATAATTAAGGCATTTCCTCAATATACATGCTTGGTATGTAGTTGTAAAAGGCTTCCATTGAGAGACTTTTCAAAAAAACAGTGCCATCGCGATAGGTCGGATTAACATTTCTTTATCTGGATGCTTTGTTTATTCAATTTATTTCTGGAATTTCACTTTTTGTATGGTTTTGAATCCCTACTTTTGAGAAAAAGTAACACAGTTAGCTCAAATAAAATACATATTCACTTTTAAACATCGTTTTTTAAAGATTTATGAACGCGTCAATAGCTTCTCAAAGGTCTATCCTTAACACAGTTTTTAAAAATGTTTCAAAAACGATTAACACTCTGTTGATGAGCCACGTTTTACTGTACATCCGAGGAAATGTTCAAATATAAGTAGAATTTCTGATACCCTGCACACACACTTTTTCCGCTACAATGCAAACGGAGCCAAAATTTCGAATAAGTTTAAATAAGTTTTAATTAAAATTTCTCATCTGCTACCTTTTTCAAGGAGAAACTACTTTTCAGCCACGTCTGCTACCTTTTCCAAAGACGTGCAAGTATAACAGTGCAAATAGGTTTGTGTCTGAGCTGTTTGATGTGCAACTGTTATAATTAGAACAGTTATGCACGTTGCAGACACAAGATGGCGACAGCTGCTCCTTTTACGGATTGGAAAATTTTAAACAAACAACTTATTTTTGTGTTTAATTCGAAAATAGAAAATATTATTATGTGATAAAAAAAGTCAATGGATTTTTATAAAACTTCAAATATCGTAATTTGATTTCATATTTGATTTAATGATTGATGTCTGCACCAATTTTTCATACAACTATGAGAGCTATTCGATTTGTATTTAAAAACTTTTAAAAATAATTTAGAAAAAGGGTAAAAGGGGCTTAGCAACTTAGTGCGTACGTTTTCAACACACATAAGGAGGCGTGGCAGAACTCAGAAGGTATATGCAAACCAGAACAGAATAATAGTTGTGAGCATGTTTTTTTTTTAGACTTGGCTTTCATATACTCGTATATTTTAATTTTTCTCAAAGAATAAGATAGTTGTGTTATTAAAGGCCACGTTTATATGTACGTGTATGTATATATTTTTTGTCCGCCCGTCTCTCTGTGTGAACTGTAGGATCTGAGAAAGTAGAAAAGCTAGAATAAAGAAACTTGAGAAAGCAGTAATAGGTGTTTCTTCCTAGCATTCAATTTTTTGTTTAAATTCTATCTAGCGTTTGTTTTTTCCAATAATATTATAGTGGGCCAAAGATATAGCTCACTCGTAAATGTAAATTTTATCAAGTTTGTTGAATAGATAGATGCTTAATAAGATTAAAGATCAATATTTAAAGTAACAAATTTAATTTAATTTTCATTGAAAATATTTCACTTCCATCTGTTGACAATTTTTTCAGGTCGTTACTGGCTCGAGCTACAATTGCTGGCTCGAGCCCGTATCCCAGGTGGCCACATGGCTAAGAAAAATACGCGCCGCTAATGAGGATGATGGGGACGAGGCTAATATCAGAGGTTTCATAATGGGCGGCTGGGTAAGTGTGCAGGACACGCGTCCAATTTTCAATTAAAAGAAAAAAAAGAATCGAAATTAAAACTAATTTTTGTTTTTTGTTGCTGGCTTTTTAAATTGCAGCTCTGGTACGAGACGAATCGGGATATAAATGCAGGCGAGGAAATCATTTTCGATGGCCGACCCAAAACACCCTACACTATGAATGGCACTAATGCTGGCGCCTTTGCTCCAGCTGTAAGTTCATTACCCAGCGATGATCGCAGCGATCGTGATAATGGTGAGTGGGTTTATACATGCATCGATTTTACAATTGTCCGGGGCGCAAAGTTAAGTCGCAAAGTAAACATTGTCTCCCCTATATGCGATATACACACACATACTTGTATAATACAGCTGGCTCTGATAAATGCAATCAAAATGCGGCGCAAAGCAATTAACACGGCCGAGGCGCGTGACAAAGCGCATGGCACGAGCGATTGCAACATGATATCATCAGTGGCTGTGGCAGTGGCAGCATCGCTAGTGTCGGCAGCAGCAATCCCAAAGGATCAGCCAAAGATATGAACAGCAACAACTACGCTGGCGTGTGACAGCTTATGAGGGCTGTCTGCCAACCCCGACTCGACTGCCAGCCCTGCCGCACCCTTTTGTTATCTGGGCTCTGAAAAGGGTCCCCTGATTCCCTCTCCCTCTCTCTCCCTCTCTCTACATATATTTCGCTTTAAATGGGCAATTTGTGTTGCGCATGCGTCTGCGCAATCTTAGGCGACCGCACATGTTTTCATTTGTTATTAAAATGTTTGATAATTTCATTAGAGATCCATCATCAAATGCGGAAGGACATGCCGGCTGTTGATTGTTGCGCCTGCGCACAAATGACTTTTTCGCACACGCACCATTTAAGCCTAATCCGGGCGCGTCGGCCGGACTTTTCAATTCAATTTAGCATACTATATGTACATACTATATATACAAGTAGAATGCATTCAATGGGGTTGTGTTGGGCGTGTTTGATTATAAACATGTGGGATTTAGAACGTCTCATTTGACAATTTCCAAAGCCATTGTTCACGCGTCAACAGCAACCAACCAACACAAAATACAAAATACAAAAAAAAAAAACCTTTCAGTCAGCTTTTAAATTTGAATATCGAGTTTATTATGAAAGCCGACTTCTTATCTCTGCCATTTTTAATTTTCAATTAAAAGCCAAGTGGTGCCTTTTCCCATAGCCGGCGAGCATAGCGCACAGGTGTGCCGAGAACGCGACTTTTTAACGTATTTCTCGGCAAGTTTTCTCTCGAGTCACGGCCTGCTGAGCACACAAGTCGCGGACTTGGACAAGGACTTGGCATATGGCATTTGGAAGGTCCCTGTAGGAAGGATAGGTTACAACATCCACAAAATGTTGTTGTTGTTGTTGTTGGTGCGTGTGAGGGTGCAAGAAGCGTATTAAATGGGAAGTCGGCGCAATTTGAATAAACGAGGCAGGGGTGCGGGTTGAAGTCAAAGGCAAGGCGCTAGATTAGACCGTTACAATTGTGGCAGAAGGATCGAGGAGGGCAAAAGGAGAAACGAAAATGAGTAAAGGATGGAGCTGTTTATGGAAAGTAATAATATTTAAGCAGCAAATCTAGATTTGTAGAACCTTTGAAGCAAAGGAGAGTTGTTTGCTAACTACTACTATAGTTTCTTCAAGATATAGATAACTTAACGCTAGATTATACCGTTACAATTGTGGCGGAAGGATCGAGGAGGGCAAAAGGAGAAACGAAAATTAATAAAGCAAGAAACTATATGGAAAGCAATAATATTTAAACAGCAACTCTAAAACAATTATTTTAGAGCCAAAGAAAAAAACCTTTGAAGCAAAGGAGAGTTGTTTGCCAACTACTACTATAGTTTCTTGAAGATACAGATAACTTAATTGTAGCAGAAGAATTAAAGAGGACAAAGAAAATGTACAAAGCATGAAAGTAATAATATTTAAACAGAAACTCTAAAACGAATTTCGAATTTTTAAAGCAATTGAGAGTTGTTTGACAGTTACTATTTTTTTTTTTTGAAGATACAGAACACTTACTATCCGATATGATGGACCTTAACTTACAGCATTATGTCTTACAGAGAGAGTAAAAGAGCAACTTATTTATTTATTATTTTTTTTTTTTTTTTGGCATTTTTAACAATTTTGTGCAGGCTACAAATAAATTTAAAAATTTAACTCCCTTGCTTCCAATTCCACAGAGTATTTCTAAATGTAGCTAAAATTTTTTAAAAAGGTTCATAATGTTCATATTCTAAATGTGGCTACAATTTTTTAAAAATTTAACTCGTTGTTGAAGTTTTCTTTTGCAACTAAATAAATGGCAGTTTCCGATTGTAGGTTTAGTTTTCAATTTAAAACACTGCTTTTCTGTTGCCATGGATTAAAAGTTCTCAAATGTAAACCAAAAGAATGGGTATTGACTGTTTAGTTAGGTTTCAACTTAATCCTCAGCAAGTACTGCTCAGTAGTTCTAAATACAATATAGTTCTTATAAAAGCATATAGTTAGCTGCTGCTTCTCTACTCGCATAATTATATATTAATTGTGGAAGAGGGGACCTTATTGTCGCATCAATCTTTTAACAACTTCATGCTGTTGTTGGTGCTACTACCAGCTTACATGGCTATATATGATTCGTATTACCCCGAGTTCAGCTCTGAGCTCAATCCTTTCACGCCTTTCACCGGCCTCGACGTGCTCGGCCCAGCTGTCGCTCTTCGCCAGATGCCTGGGCTGGCAAGCGGATTGATTTACTTGCAGGCCGCCTGACAATTCAATGGCGGCACATTTTAGTTTCTGCCATCAGGATAGAAGCCAGACAACAACAACGGCAACAGCAACAATCTTTGACATGCCGCTGCCACTGCCACTGCCACTGCCAGTGGTAGTGCCTCTGACCCTGAACTCACGGGCCAGACACGAGGCGGGCCTTGTTGAAGTTAAACGGAAGCCAAATCTGTTGACAAATGATTGATTGAATTATTTACACCTTACAACTTGCTGCCGTTTCTGCTGCCGTTTCTGCAAAATCAAAGTTAGATCCGCCTGCTAATCGATTTGGCAGTCGGCCGAAGCCGATGCCGTAGCCAAACCAGCAGCCATAAAAAGGGTTAGGTTGCTCCAATCGCTGTTATTGGTGTCTATAAAAAATTAAATAAAAAAAACAAACGCTACAAACACTCCTAATGATGCCTAAATTGACATACGATGATCGTTTAGTAGAAGACATGGCGAGTGGCTGAGCGTTTGGCTCTTTTTCTATCGACCGACTGTCTATTATTTGGTAACGTGGCATAACACGGTGGCTCATTAATCATCCATCAGCTCTCGGGCTGGGGACAAAGTGTCAGAGTGTACTCGCACGTCTATAGTGTGACGGGCTAGTTAAGATTTTCGATTTTGGGCTTGGGCTTGGTTCTTCGGGCCAAGATAGCAGCAGCCGCGTGCGCGCTCACAAGCGTGTCTTTAATTGTTTGATTGGTAATTGAAGCATTGCAGAGTCATGCCTTAAGCGGAAAGGCGTCTCACGTTGGCCCAGACTTTTGTCTATCTGCCCAGATAGTTAGAATGCTAGAAATGTGAATAGCAGCATTGTTAGAAGTTATCTGCATCCGCAAATATTGAATGGACTTTCTGTGGAAATCGGTGGCGATAACTAAGTGAAGTGCGGCAATAAAACCCAATTGCGCGAAATTGAAAGTAAACACAACATAAAAAGCTATAGATTAATGAGAGGGCAGGAAACATAATAAATATTGAGAAAAAAGTATTATTGGTAGAACAAATAGTTGTTTTTTAGTTAAACAGACACCCCTTAAGAAGCTATTTCTGTTGTGGTTACAAGGGATTGGGGTTCGTTTTCTTAGAATCGAGTCTAGTAAGGAGACAAAAATCAAATCAAAATGCTAAACTATAAATACATAGAAGTAGAAGAACTTTTGGAAAATTTAGAAGAAGAAGCTGCACTTAATTTTTGAGTGTCTATTTGAAGAGGTCTGGAAAAAAATGTGAACAAAGTTAGTCTCCTTACCTATCTCTCCTATTTAAATTGCCAGATTCAGAAGCTAGCAAGAGAGATCTAATCTAATCCATTATACACCCTTTCCTGCTTAGCAGCCACTTATTTTTTGAGCAGAAGTCATTCTTGTCAACAAACCTGTTAATAATTGAATAATTATTGCTTTATATTAAACATCACTTTGAGTGTGGACATAGATTAGAGCAGAAGTCAGATATCTAATCAAATGTCACGACAACCACTTGAAGGGAAAAACCTCCACACCAAAGCTATGATCAGACAGAAATGAATACTATAACGAATTCAAGTATATAACCAATAAGAATTCAATACTAAAATATAGCTGTCTGTTATGACTAACTTTTTTGTCAATCACTTTTCTTAGCGAATTTGTAAAATTAAACCGATTTGTGTAGAAATTCCTTGCCTGTCCGATCGTAGCTTAAGTTTTGTGGCAAATTTGAACACCAAAATGGGAAAAGGGGCTCCAAAGCTAATATAGAAAGCTATAGTTTTTTATCCAATTGACTTAGAATATCATAGATTTGACGGCATATATAATATTTTGCATACCAACATCATGATTCAAATAATAATATTAATATAATAATATTTTGCATACCAACAGCATTTTTCAAAAAGGTTTGAAATAACTTTCTGTTGAAAATATATAGAAACTACATACAAACAAAACACAGAAATAAATCTTCAACATAAACAAAACTCACAAGCGCAGTTTGGAAAATTTGAGAAGGAAAACAAAGAATAAAAACTAGTATACCTGGGAATTAGAACATTCTTAAACTTCGCGAGAAAATATATAAAATATTCGATAGCTGACGTTTATTTCCAAAACAATTCAAGATTTTTCTTACTTCTTAACGAAACATAAAACCGTTTCAACTTATTATGTGTATAGTATGGAGCAATGAATACAGAAGATAAGGGAAATGAAAAATCTAGGTAGATATGGAAAACTCTTAGATATTCTAGATATGAAAAATTCGAACTAATGGGTTATGTACAAAGATATTAATGCAATTCGGGCAACTATAATTTTACAAGAGATACAGCAAGAGGAAACCTAGCATCGAGACTACTAGACCTTTTTAAGTAAAAAATTTAAAATAACATTTTTTGTTCAGAGCTGGGAGTCCGCGAAACAAATTCTATTGAAGGTACGTGATACGGAGAGAAGTGTTAAATTAATTAATAATGAAACTGAAGGCAACAACTTAAGAGTTTAGTGTAGTTCGACTTTGAAATTTCAGAGCCCCCTTTAATAAAAAAAAAAAATAAATAAATAAAAAAAAATGAAACACCCAACAAATCACAATCACACTTATAAACCTTAACTTAATAAGCCTAACAACATTTAGTTCCCCATTACTTTATTTAACCGAAAGTCTTTCCATAAATGTTCTACAATGTAGAGAAGTATCTTGTAAGTTATGCAGACATTCCATTGTTTCGACATCCTGGGAAGCGCATCCTTAGTCCCTATTATCCCACGCTAGGGCCCTTTTGAAAAGAAGTTGCAACCATAAATGGCAACAGCTGAAGTTCAAGTTCAGTTCAGTTGTGGCAAGAAGTTAGGCAGCTCGTGGGAATCTTTGGGCATTGAGGCCGCTGCCACTCCCCCACCCCTTTTAGAGACCATATTGCACTCGCTGAAAATTAACTTTTGACCCAAACAGACACTGCACAATTACAGGTCGCGGAACAAGGAACATATACATATGTATATATATATAGATATACATATTCATCAAGTTGGGCGCGCAGGACTCACCCCCGTGCCGCCTGCCTTGAGAGGCAACACCTGTGCCGTGCTGGGCCAGCACAATGTCGTTCCACCAAGGTGCTATATGACTTTTGAACGAAATCAGTCCAACGGAACCAGGCTAGCCAGCGTTAACCACAAACAGAGCAAAAGGGGCTCGCAACTGACCCTTACACTTGGATGTGTTTTCGTGCATAATCTTCGGTCCTTGGCCGTTGGCCGTTGGTCGTCGGTCGTGGGTCGTCGATTGTCGATTGTCGTCGTTAGTCATCCCTTAGTTTGCATTCTTGCACTATTTGCTGGCCGACAGACTAGGGTTAAGGGCTGCTGTTCACCTGTGCTCACCTGGCCGAACTTGTCTTCCCGATGGTGGTGCTGATGTAAGTGCCGGTGGTTGTGTTGGTGGTGGTGGTGGCGGTGTTGTTGTTGTTGTTGTCCACTGATGTTTCGATAGTCATTTCCCCTTGGAATTGTCATCGTCGTCAGCGTCGTCTGAGCATGTTTGCGCACCGCCCGCTCGCCGCCTCTAGGTGTACAGAGTAGGGGTGGCTTACTTTCATTTGCGACAATTATCTATTCAACGTCAAGCGGGCCGAGCTATATGAGTGCCCACGATTTAATATCGCTCGCCAGACCGCCCGCCCGCCCGTTTGCCCGTCCGCTCGCCGCTCTGCTACCAATTTTGTGTTAAGTGTTTGCGTGTTTGCATTGTGTGTGGTGCGTGTGTGTGTGTGCATTGGTCATATGTCAGTGCGTCCTGGCAAGTCCTTCCGCAGATTGTTAGCGGGTAAACAAAACATTAGCTCGGCGGCATTACGCGGCCAGAACGACACACTTGTTCCTCAAACGCGAAGCCGTGCGGTTGTCCGAAGTGCTCCCGACTATACACAGATCCTATTTAAACATCCTTCCGGTACGCCATAACCCTGAAGGAGCTTCAACAAGATCTTCTCAAATAGAATTGTGAGTAGTCATTGAAAAAAAGAGGATAACTACACAACAAACAAAGTTCAATCGCAATAAAAAAAAGCTCCCTACATTTTGTTGGGAAAAAAGAAAGAAATAAAAAAGTGAAAGCTGGATTTTTCAAAAAGATTTTCAAACATGAGGTTCCAATTGACTTCTTAAAATATCAAACAGCATTATCTGTTAAATAATGTAATAACTTTATCAAAATATTGAGTTTTGGAAACTTTTTCTGTGGCTTTTTTCCATTGAAAAGTTTATCATAATATAATTTACATTTACATAACATTATACAAATTAAAATTAAAAATGATAACAGTTATCTATCATTTTATAAAAAAAAGTTAGGCAGAACTTTTAAAAATATACAAAAATAATTAAAAATTATAAATAATATTTCTTGCACTGGCTAAGAAACTTTATTCCCAACACATAAAAGAATGCTCTTTTGTTTGAGCTTAACTAATTGACCAAATATTTGCATATTAAATATTAATTCTAAAAGAATAAAAAGTTTTTACAGCATGAAAATATGGATAGATAGATAGATCTGTCAAAATTCAGGTTCTGCAAACATGTTGATTTGTAATAATTAATTATATAATATTAATAGGGACTTGCTGAGGATTTTGATTGCATTACTGAAATTGGATTTAATTTGGAAACTGGTTTCATTTGTAGAACTATTTGCTTTTGATTCATATAATTCTGTAAAAGAAATAAGCATACAAATTCGATAAATATTATATGTTTTATTTTAAACAAATTTTAAAACATAAACGTATTATAAGATGTTTTAAATTTTTATAAAGTGCTTATCAACGCAGAATCTAGAAAAAACTGACACTCGGGCTCAGCCTTGTAGATTCAAATGTAAGTTGCTTCTTTTATCGCTTAGAGCCTTAGATTAAGGTGCTTTCCTTAGATGGATTGATTATCTACGGATTGTTAAAATATTGAGCTTAACAGGCGAAGGAAAAATTTGCCAATGAGGCAAAGATATAAAGGAAATTGTTTAGTCTATTTAAATACATAAGAGATGCAAGTACACTCCATCGAAAACTCTTCAATTGCAGAAGTAACTAACTAAGTTTAATCTCTTGATTAACCTCTGGCTTCTCTTTTGTCTTGCAGGCTCCCTCTACAGCGGCGACGATAGAAGAAACAACGATTTGTCCGACGACGAAAACAATTTCGATCTACGCTGCGAGCACTGTGATAAAGTCTTTCCGGATTTGGAAATGTAAGTGTCTATGTGTGTGTGTGTGTGTGTGTGTCGAAGAATGCGGCGCTCTTAAATTTTAGAATAGGTCCACTCCCGGTTCCAGTGCAACGCATTTATATTAAATCTCCGTTTAACTGTTCAACTGACATTAAGGCGAGCTTCGCGCCACCGCCAAGGAGAATGTCTGCAGCAAATTACTTTGGCATTTAACATTTGCAACCAACGGACAGACCGACAGACGGACAGACGGACAGACAGACGGACAGACAGACGGACACACAGATAGCCGGACAACAAACAGCTGCGTCCAACATAATCTAAATCAAATATTTTTAAACAAACCCCAAAAAAAAGGCAACCAATTAGCTTCCAACTTACCCATAGAATTGTGGGCGCAACAAAAACCGATGGCAAAGCCGTCGGCCTGGTAATGTTTGTTAGAGAGGGGAATGGAGGGGGATATAGGGGAAAACGGGGTCTTATCGTTGGCGTCATATCGCCGCCCGGCGGGCCAATGCGTTAGCGAGCGAACTGCCAATAAAAAGCGCTACAAAGTATTCCCAAATGTTGCTAAATGCTTGAACTATATGCGACTAATAATGCGCTTTTGCGGAGATCTTAATTAAAAGTTGCTGGCGATAGTGCGGTCAATAAAAGTGCCATTAAAACAGTCCGACTGACTAAATGACTAACTGACTGACTGACTGGCCTGGTCTGGCCTGGCCCCACGGTTGAAAGTGAGAGTTGAAACGGCTATGACTGAAGTACTAGTATATAGTATTTTATGATTTGCTTTGTCTCTTTATTTCTTTATGGCCAATGCAATCTGTAGGTGTTAACTGAGACTTAATATGAATCCGACTTGAATGATCAACAGTGTTTCAGTAGCGGCCACTAGACTGGCCACTAGATTCAAAACCATTAGAAATTGATTAGCTAACTGAGGAAATTTGCACAAAACTGAAGCTTAAGAATGAACTAAGTGAGGAAATTTGCACAAAAATTGAAGCTACTTTAAGAATAGAATAGAGCACGAGTTTGATGGATGGATCGCTACGAGTTTATAAAATGTTGTTTCTAGCCCTTAATTACAATTCCTTAATTAGCCCTACATTCACAACATTCTCTAGAATTTCAAAATAAACTCTATATTCTTAAACTAATCTAAGCTAACTTAAACTAAACTCAACCAATCTGGGTTCTGTATCCCCGTCATTATATTCTTGCATTAGTATACTATTTGTTGTTGAACGAACTTAAAATAATAAATTGAGTTATAGAAATAGGCTTATCAAGTATCAATGTAACTGAAAGCTGGATTTTTAAAATATTTAATATCTTAATATTCAACCTAAATGGTTAATGGTTAATGCTATAAGTTTTCGCAGAGAAGTTTGATTTAATCCTCCTAATGCTCCGACAATAGCTGATAAAATAATTCTAATCATTAATAAATTTTTGATATTTAAATAAGAAATTAATATAAGAGGGGCAATTTTTTGCCAAGTTATTAATATTAAAGCATTTATTCAAGATAGCCCTTCTATTAAATTTGGGAATCAAAAATGAAAAGGGGCTGCTCCTCTTTTTAGTAGAAGAGAAGATAATAATATATATATACATATATATATATATTTTTTTTTTCAAAGATGAAGCTTGTTAATTTTGTGTTCCAATTGACTTCTTAAAATATCACACAGGATAATTATATAGAAATAGGCTTATAGAGTAGTAAATGTAGCTTTTTTTTAATTTAAAGATATTTCTGCTCATATAGCCAGACATAAATAGTTTGCAAAGCATTCTATTGAATAATTTATTTAACGAAACAATTTCTTAATATTCTTTAAAAAACCGTTGACTAGTTTCTATTTACAATTGTTAGGTGAAGCGTTCAGCTGAGTTTTTTAATGTCTAGTTTCAATTGACGATGGGAGTGATCCTAAAACAATCTAGCTGGAAAGAAATGAAGAGTTAATTCGTGTTAGGTACACTGCCACCTGAGCTCTGAACAGATAATAAATTTTGATATAATGACTAAAACGTTTAACTATAATATAGTCAGTTGGGAAACAATACTTCCAGATGTGTAGGAAGTCAAGAAGTGTCCCATTAGCACAAAATTAAGAAACCAACAGATCACCTGTAAATTATTTAAAAACGTACAACAAAGTCCAAAATCAAGATTTCTTTGTTTTTATGAGAACTCATTCTATTGGGTTCAACGCATTTAATTAATTCATTCAGCATTTATCTCATTTCTAAATAAATATGATATAAAATGAAAAAAAAAAAAAAACAATTCTAAAATACTCGTAAAAATAATATAACATTTACAAGAAAGATCCAAATCAAGATTCTATGTTTTTAAAGAGGTCTCATTATTTTGTCTTCAAATTATTTCATTAATTCACTCATCATTTATCTCATTTCAATATAAAAATATATACAAAATGACAAAAACAATTCCAAAATACTTGCATAAATAATATAACATTTCTAAACAATATTTTTACGAGATCTCCTTAGATTGGCTTTAACTAATTTCATTGCTCGATGTCTAAGCTGTATTTTTATTTATCTTGTTTGAAAGACACGCTTAATACAACAATAATATATCCATAACTTGTTCATTTTATAATCCCAGCAATATGAGTCAAATGAGCCAAATAAAAGAAATTATTTTTTTATAATCTTTTTTAAACTAGAAATTCACAGCTTTAGTCGACGACAATTATATACACTTTCTTTTGATAGACGGGCAAATTAGGTTAAATACTCAGAGCAGTGCTCTTTTATTTCTGATTAAGCTTACAATTAGGGTTTATTTTATTTTTATACTCGTAGCCTCTATGAAAATAGATCAGAGCAAGCTGATTTTATAATAAGTAGCCACCTCAAAAAATGTATCAATTACCTAATACAGGCATTTGGTTGGCTCCTCCCTCGCTCCCTCGCCCACTCCCTCCTCTGAGTCCTTTAGACAGTCCACAATAATTAGACAGCTGTCGGGCGCAAAGCAATTACCCACCTGTCCCCACTCCCCAAGTTCCTAAATAAGTCAAGACATCATCTAATTGCCCGAAATTTGAACATTGCCATCATTAGGCGGGCAAACAACTAAATAAGGAGGACATGGGACATCGGACATGGGACATCGGAAAAGCCTCAGACCAAGGAAACTTTTTAAGTGGCCAACCAGCCAGTGGTGGTGGGGGCCGTTTAATGCAAAACTTTTGTACAATATTTACTTATGTTTTGCGTTGTAACAAATAAATGGGTAAACAGCAGCAACAACAACAACAACAACAACAGTAATAATAGTAAGAGCAACAGCAACAGCAACAACAACAACAGCAAGTAAGCAGCGAGCAACAAAAGTGCTGAGAGACACGCAAATGACATTCATTTGGTGTTTTGGGTTGTGTGTTGTTTTTGGAGTGTTGATGTGAAGTGCTCTGTGATTTTGTGTTGCAAGCAACAAATGTTATGGAAAGCGTCCACAATTTACCGTTAGCTGTTAGCTGTTCTGCGATGGGTGGGTTGGGTTGGTGGGTGGCAGTGGCAGTGGCACGTTGAACGACCAGCGACCAGCGACCCACGAGGAACGACGAACGACCGCCGCACTTATCATCGCAGTGTGATTTATTGAATTTTACATGAGGTGGCAGCGGAGGAAGCAGCTATGCGAGGCACGTCTGCGTGTCTGTCCTGTCCCGTCCTGCCTTTCTTCTTCGGGCTGATGACTGCCCGTCGGGGTCTCTCTCGCTCTCTGCCTGCTGTTCGCCTTTTTGCAACTTATCTGATGTTGAACATGCATAGTTTTTGCTGCCAATGCTGTTGCTATTGTTGCTATTGTTGTTGTTGTTGTTTGCAAACGTACGCCCACATATGAAACGCATGGTCTGCCTGCCTTTCTGCCTTCCTTCCTGCCTTCCTGCCTGCCTGGCCATGTTGTCAACTCTTCCATGTCGCTGACAACAGGCACAAAGAAGTGGAGCAGCAAACGTTGCCGCCTCTGCTGACTGCTCCACCCACGTGGGCGCGTTTGTTTGCCTTCGAGTCCCCATTGCTCGACCCCCCTCGCCCCCTCCTCCCTCCCCACCCACTGATATGCGATAAGCGATCTGCAACCCCCCCGCTCCGCCCGTTCGCCGCCACATCAAGGACACGCAACGAAGGTACTCATTGGTCAGCTGTCCCAGAGATGGCTTATCAATGCCGCATATTAAATATTGAACATCATTTGACTAATTGAGGCGCGCGCACGTCTGTCGGGGGGCGTGGCATGCTTGGGCAACAAACAAAGCGTCGCTGGGCGTGTGAATTGCCGCACATGCCTGAGATTTGTTGCCACGATTTCAAGTTCTCGCTCCAAATGTCCATATGTGAATGCTAATTTCATTTCAGCTCTTGTCCCCAGTTGATTGTCTCTCTAATAATAAATTCCTACCATATCTATAATATTGTACTATATACATATGTTTCCATTGCTCTCTACTCTTTGCAGCTTGGACTCGCATCTTGTGGACGCACATCACCTAAAACAGGGCCAATATCCCTGCGATCAGTGCCAGTTACGTTTCAGCCAACGCATCCTGGTCATCAGGCACGAAGGTATAGATCACAACACCAAACGCAAATATTCCTGTGAAAATTGCAGCAGGGTAAGTAGAAAAAAGAATGCTAACTAAAATGTTTTCAATAGAAGTAGAAAAGGCGGCACCAATTGTTTTAATTCGAATTTGTCAACGAAAGACTAAAAGAGTTAAGAGTAATGCTTTAGCAATGGAATAAGATGCCTGCAAAATAGATTCAATTGATGATTTTTTGAGGTCAGCTCAGAAGTTCATTATATTTGAATATTAGCAGAAATTTTAGATGTTTTCAAAGTTACAAATCGGTAGTCTTTAGCTGGAAGTGTCGTAAGAATCTTTAAAGTATTTAAATATCCTTCTCCAACTTCTCTTCTTTAATTTAAATATTTCACATTTTTTCTCAATATTTGTATTTGTATTTTTCTTAAGAATCCACAATTGCTTCTCTGAGTTGTTAGCTTATTTTTGTAGTTTATTCTGAATCTACAAAATAATTTGCTATTTTTTCTGTATCTTCTCAAATAATCAGTGTTTCCGAATTGTTTTTCTTCATATTTGCAATTTTGGAACTTTTTCCTAAGTTTTAAGCTTCTATCGTATAGTTTTTTAGGAGTTGGTCAAGAAATTGAACTAAGTCTTTCTGTTTGAATTTGGAAGTTTCGCTTTTCTACTTTCAATTATTCCCAGCAATCTATAAGAAACTTCAAATAAGTCCTGTATTATCGCTAATGAGGATCTTTAGTTCATATATGTACTTGTATTCCTCGTCGATAATGGAGATGTTCCGAATACGATTCTTTGAATTGTTAGCGCCTATTTATGTTCAACTTTTCTTAGGCATCTATGGAGAACTCGAAATTTTCTCCTTATCTTCTTCAACTTTATACATTCGCGGTTCTTTTGAAGTTCCATTTTATATATTTATGAATTGCTAGCTTCTGTGTTTTCTTAGTAATTGGCGTATCTTCACGATTGGAATTATTCAATCTCATCTTAACGTTTCTTTTCGTATCTTCTTAAGCTGAAATCTTCAATAGATTTATTTAAATTCATGCCACAATAATCGTTAGTGCATGTAATGGCTGCTTTTAAATGCAAAAGTGAATAAAAAAACTCAATATTTTTATCGAAAATATCAACAATTTTTAAAGCAATAGAGTGACGGACTCGATGTAGTGATGAATGCGCATTTCCAAAAAATTATAAAATGAAATAAAAACGCTTTAAACTACAAAGTCATTAATTATTGTATCATAAGTTGAAGCTGCAGCAGAAGGGTGGAGGAAGGGGAGAGGGGAGGAGGCAGTTGCGGGTGCGGCGCATATAAAAAAGACTTTTGATTTCTAGCAGATCAATAGCCGCGGGCTCTTCAACGGCTGCCGTTGCCGCTGCCGCTGTTAACTTGGCTTTTAAATTACTTAAAAGACTCTGGCGTACTTGTTACCCTACCTCCTCCCTCCCTCTCCCTCTCTCTCTCTCTCTGTCACTCTCTTTCAAGCTGTGCTGTGCTGGAGCGGCAGCTCTTCACACCCGCACGCGCGTGCTCTGTTGTTTGTTTCTTGAATTGAGTTGAGTTGAGTTGGCCGACTGCGGAGCTTTATATAAATATAAAAAAATAAAAAAAATCAGGGCGTGTACTCATCCAAAACACTTAAGCGACCATTCGACCCGCTCGTAATGAGGAAACTTTGTCTGCTGCGAGTGCCTCGTTCGTGGCCTTTGTTCATCTTCAGGGCACTGCATTTGAATGCCAAAATGAAATAAAAAACAAAATTAAAGGGCTAAGCAAGGCTTTGAGTGTATCAGTCAGTCAGTCAGGCAGCCATCCATCCAGCCATCCATCCATCTATCTATCCAGCGATTCGTTTCATGCGTCGCACTTCGTCATTGTCATCGACGTCTTCGACATCTTCCAAAGATGTTTTAATGGCATGTTGATTACAATCTTGTGGTCGCTTGCCGTTGCAGCAGCTTGCAGCTTGCAGCTCGCCGTTGTTGTTTGCAACGTATCCGAGGTGTTTCAATCACTGCGCTTTTTCTTTTGGATTTTCCCTTTTTCATTTCCAAATGAACGGTATTTCAATCGAGTGTCCCTCCATCCGTCCGTCCATTACAGTTAGTTTACTTAGCGCTCTGTAATTGTTTCGGTGGCATGTAAGTAGCACGCATTGTGGTGGCAACGGGCGCGCCGTGCAGCGACATAAACGGGAGCCACTGAAGCTAAACAAATGATGATCGATCTTTGGGGCACTTTGAGAAAACAACAACAACAACAGCAACAGCAACAGTAGGAGCTGCAGCCACAGAAACAGAAACAGAAACAGAAAAGGGCATACTTTCGCTGAGGTCCGACCGTACAACGGTCTGCAGCTGTCAGCTTTGTTGTTGTTGTTGTTGTTGTGTTAAGCAGAAAGCTTAAGCGTTTCAAAAGGGATTTGCCACGGATCTACAAGGTTTTGGACTTAGCTTAGCATGTGTAGGCCGTAGGAATTGTGAAGTGAGTGGCATGCGCCTAGCGGGTGGCGGCTTCAATTGAAATTTCTTTGGACCCTCAAATGAGGCCTGAAGATTCTTGGAGTAGCTTGAAAGAGTAGAGAGAGAGAGAGAGAGATACTCGATCCAGTTAGATTTTGAAAGATTCTCGTTAGCCATATCTTTTTCGCAGAGCTTCACGTAGTATTATGTTTGTATTGTGGAGGCTTAGCTTGAGACACATTTGTTTATTTATTGTTAATTACTTCCTAGTGCAACGAGTGTAGTTACTTATAAGTTAAAGCACTAGTCACTTTAAGAACTCTGTCGCTAAACATATGACATTTCTACAGACATTTGTTGGTATTGCATTAAGATCTTCCTAGTGCTAATGATTTCAAATAAAGGTACCATTCTGTTCCATTTTCGGAGCATGTTTACTTATCTTTTGGTATACGACGCCTTCTTCTTCCCATATCTATTCATTGCCTGTAAGCATACACTTTTCTAAAGAACATTTTCTTGCCGTATTGACAAGTCCTTTATTCGTGCTTATCTTTTAACAGCTAGTAGACTTCGGTGCTTCTCTTTAGCACACCAATTGCTTCCTTCAAATACCTCTTTCCATGCGTCATCTCTCCAGTACTTTACTCGTAAGGCCATACCTATTCTTTATCTGTAGTAAAGACGTAGTCCATAGACTTTTCTTATGAACCTTTTCTTGCCGTGTAGGCAGTCCTTTCAGTAGTAGTTTAGTGGGCCAACTAAGCCTCCTCCATCTACCCAATAATTTGGCATTCCAATTGCTTCCTTCAAATACCTCTTTCCATGCGTCATCTCCTCCCGAGTAAGGCCTCGACTTTTCTTGCCGTGTAATCAAGTCCTTTACGTGCTCATCTCTCAAGCGCAGTAGTTCAGTGGGCCAACTAATCCTCCTCTTTAGCACCACCTACCCAATAATTTGGCATTCCAATTGCTTCCTTCAAATACCTCTTTCCATGCGTCATCTCCTCCCGAGTACTCTACTCGTAAGGCCTCGTCTTTTCTTGCCGTGTAATCAAGTCCTTTACGTGCTCATCTTTCAAGCGCAGTAGTTCAGTGGGCCAACTAATCCTCCTCTTTAGCACCACCTACCCAATAATTTGGCATTCCAATTGCTTCCTTCAAATACCTCTTTCCATGCGTCATCTCCTCCCGAGTACTCTACTCGTAAGGCCTCGTCTTTTCTTGCCGTGTAATCAAGTCCTTTACGTGCTCATCTCTCAAGCGCAGTAGTTCAGTGGGCCAACTAATCCTCCTCTTTAGCACCACCTACCCAATAATTTGGCATTCCAATTGCTTCCTTCAAATACCTCTTTCCATGCGTCATCTCCTCCCGAGTACTCTACTCGTAAGGCCTCGTCTTTTCTTGCCGTGTAATCAAGTCCTTTACGTGCTCATCTCTCAAGCGCAGTAGTTCAGTGGGCCAACTAATCCTCCTCTTTAGCACCACCTACCCAATAATTTGGCATTCCAATTGCTTCCTTCAAATACCTCTTTCCATGCGTCATCTCCTCACCAGTACTCTACTCGTAAGGCCTTAGCTGACCTCCGCACAACAGCTACGTAACGCCATAGAGCTTCGCATCAAGACAATCGCATTCCACAGCAGCGAACCTTAACAGCAACCAACAACCAACAACCACCATCAACCACCACCTCTCTAAGCCAGCTAAGAGCCTCGCCCCACCGTGGCTAACGCGGCGTCGAGGCCTCAGTCTCAGCTTCAGCCTCAGCTTCAGCCTGCACTGAGGCTGACGGCATGCCAAAACACCTACACTTATCCAACCGATATAGCCGACGATGAATACGACGAAGCGCAGAGCTGTTGTTGTTGTTGTTATTGTTGTTGTTGTTGTTGCTGTAGCAACGTCCCAACCGTTGTCTTTTCGTGGCGTTTTTCGCCTTTTGGAGAGTAGTTGAATCTAATCCATTTGATGTAGTTATAGCACGAGCTATTCTTGTATGTCGTTGTCGTTGTCGCTGTCGATGTCGATGGTGCGATGGATCGCTCGTTGCTGGCTTACTTCGATCCGCTGGCAGGAGTGTGAGGGGGAGGGGGGGGGGGGACTTAACAAAGCCGCGCGCCCGCTCAACGCTCAACGGTCGGCTCATAGACAAAAAAGGCTGCTTCGATCATCGTTTGATATGAATTCGTAGCGCATTATGACAGCATGATTAGGCATAACAGTTTCGTAAAAGGCAGCCGTAGCGCTCTAGACTCTCCACACACGAGTGCTCGGTTCATATTGCGGGTGGAGGGTAAACGAAATCAAGTTTGAAGTACATTCGAGTGCCTGCTGTACAAGAAACTGTTGGCTGGCTGGACTGACTGACTGCCTGACTAGCTTTATAGAGCTATATAGCTAGCTGGCTCTATGAATGGCTACATCTGTCATTGCGTTCCAGCTATCTGGCTAGCTGGCTTGCTGGCTAGTTGGCCTAACTGTTTGTCGTTGTCGTTGTTGGCTAAAAGAGTGAGGGAAACATAGGGTATGACAATTGTAGCAATTGATGTTAATAATTGACGAAGGTGTTGCTAGTGTTGCTTTTTCTTGTGGGTGGAGGTGTTGTTGTTGTTGCTGGCTGTGCTTTTGCGTAATCTCCACAAACTCGACGGCACAATGGAGCAAATTGGCAATTATAGAGCGAAAAATAAACGCCATTTAAAATAGATGCTCAAACAAAATAAACTGCAGTCCTGAAGAATCTTAAGTCTTGTTACTACTTTGGTGAATCCCCTTTCATATATCGCTTTAAGCATCAGATTACAATCTTCAGCTAACTTTCTAAAGTACATAGAATCTTATATCTCCATAGCGACGTCTTCATTAACTCGACTGTAGCAAGACCTGTCTGTGCCATTAGGCCAATTAATTTAGGCTTCCCTTCTTCGTGAGCTGCAAGTACTCCCATTTCAGTCTAGAGTTTGTTCCACAGTCTGCACTAGCGATGGCTTCTTGTAAGCCGAACAGTTGGCCAGATCCGTTTAGTGGTCGCCGGGGCTGCCGCTACTGCCGCTGCGCACATGCAGATGATTGATTAATTTCAGTTTCGTTTCATTTGCGAGGCATTGCCCATTATGCGCTGCCCATAGACTGTAGTCTGTAGATTGTGGACTGTGTGGAACGAGAGCGGCGCGGCGCGGTGCTCAGTAGTCAAGTCGCCAAGTCGCCAAGTAGTAGCCAGAGACGGCAAAAGTCCAACAACAATTGGGCCGCAGCTGTGCGGCAAGCCGCTTTTGATTGTTTCACGCTCCCCACAACATTTTTAGCCCCGCACTCATTGTGTTCACTTGATTTTTTCCTCTGTCTTTTGCAGGTATTTTGTGACCCATCGAATTTACAGCGGCATATTCGCGCCCACCACGTCGGCGCTCGCAGTCATCCGTGCCCTGAGTGCGGCAAAACATTTGCGACCTCCTCGGGCCTCAAGCAACACCAGCACATACACTCCTCCGTGAAGCCCTTCGCCTGCGAGGTTTGCTTCAAGGCCTACACCCAGTTCTCGAATCTGTGCCGGCACAAGCGTATGCACGCGGATTGTCGCATGCAGAGCATCTGCAAGAAGTGCGGTCACAGCTTCAGCACCACCGCTTCGCTGAGCAAACACAAGAAGTTCTGCGAATCGACGGGCAACTTTCACAGCCAGCCCCGCCAACAACAGCAACAACAGCAGCAGCAGCTACAACAGCTGCAACAGGGGCGACGTGTTCATCCATCAGCCGCGAGTGGCGCCACCAACGAGCTGCAACATCCGGCGGCACAAGCAGCGACCAACGCCATGGCCACGCCACCATTTCTCGCCTATCCTTTCCCAGCGTTTCCCCCCTATTCGCTGCCCGGCATCTTTCCGGAAAGTGCACTGCAGGCCGCCAACTTCCCGCTGCACAATTGGTTGTTTCCTAAGCCCTTGGATATGGCCCATCTGCAACATCTTAACCCTCCCGCGAACTCACCGTTCCGTTCACAACTGCCTTTCGGCGCCGGTCTTCCACCGAGCATGGAAGCGGCGGCAGCAGCGGCGGCGGCTGCGTCAGCAGCGGACGTGGATGAAAAACCCAAGGTGGAGCTTAAGCGCGAATCGAAAACGGAGGCGAAGCTACTTAAGTCGGAGTCACAGCTGAACGTGTCCGATGATAATTCAAACTCCATGACCATTGACTTGAAAGTGGAGACGAAAAAGCTCAAAAAAGAAGAAGGGGAAGCAACAGATGCTAGCCAGGAGCAGCAGCAAGCTGAAGACGATCGTGTAAGTAGAGAAAAAGCTCGACTGATAAAATATCATTAATCCAATATATGACTAATATTGGAAATTATGGGAAGCGAACTAAATGTTGGGAGCATCGCTATAAGAATTTTAGAACTAATATGAGAAATAAAGCAAAAATAATCGCGGACTGTATATTTGAAAATATATAGTCTAAAGCAGAGGACTGTGTATTTGAAAATATATAGTCTAAAGTAGAAGACTGTATATTCCAAAATATATAGTCAAGCAGAATAAAAGCTTAAATAGCATTCAGTTTCGAACCCGTCGAGTCTTAATAAATTAGAAATTATACAAGAATTATAGCTTATGGCTTCAGCTATAATTCTACTCAAAGCTAAGATTTTCTAAAAATATCCCAAAATAAACGCATTTATCAATTCCTATTGATTATAGAATATTTGGTGTTAAAAGTTGCATTATTTATCGAAATTAATCTTATCATAGAATTGACATATGATGTCTTAAACTACAAGTATATTATGAAAAACTAAATGACGATGATCAAAAAACTGATAAAGGGGAAGAATTCTAGCAATCCTGACAACGAAATGATTTTGAAAATGTATTTAGAAATTAAAATCAAACTACTAGATTCCGAGTTATGTTGATGGTTGGAACTATTTCTTATGCAGCTCGTCTAATATTCGACTACTCTCTTCTCTTTTTTGAACAGAAATCCATTGATATCGTGACCACACCGCCGCATGAACAGGAGCTGAACAGTTTCTATGCAGCTGGCATGGATGCCCCCGATGACAAGCGCCAGACCACAGAGCTACCTCTCGATCTAAGCATTAGTCGCAAGCGACGCAGCAGCGCCAGCTCGCACAGCCAGCAACTGTCCATAAGTTCGCCGGAAAGCCAGCACATGGAACGTGAGGTGGCGGAAGTGAAGCTGCCCAAGCTGCCCAAATTGCAGAGCTCCGGCGAATCGTCCACATCGCATCAGTCATACAAGGGAAGCAGTCCCACTCCCACCGCCTCGCCGGGACTAACACCATCGCCCTCACCGCCCAGTATGGGTGGCGAGCTGAGTTGCATGTCGGACAGTGCATTGAATGCGTCTGCAGCGGCAGCCGCGGCCGCTGCGTTTCCAGGCCTGCACTGCCCGCCCTTTTTGCTGGAGGGCATCTGCCGCGGCTTCTCACCCAGCTCGTTTCCTTTTTTAGGCCAAATGGGCGGACGGCAAGATTTTAAGGCGGCCACTGCTATGTCGTCGCCCTCCAAGGTGCTGAATGTGCATCACTTAGCCACCAGCAACAACTCGCGCCATTTGCCGTTTCCGCCCGAGTCCAGTTTCCATGAGGCCCTGCATGCTGTCGGCCTGCGCAGCAGCGTGCTGGTCGCCGCCCAAGTAAGCTCTGCCCACGTGGGCAAAATAAAGGATCGCTACACGTGCAAATTCTGCAGCAAGGTGTTTCCCCGATCCGCCAACCTGACACGCCATCTGCGCACCCACACGGGTGAGCAGCCGTATACCTGCAAGTACTGCGATCGCGCCTTCAGCATCTCCTCGAATCTGCAGCGACATGTCCGCAACATCCACAACAAGGAGCGACCCTTCCGCTGCAGCCTCTGCGATCGCTGCTTCGGCCAGCAAACGAATCTCGATCGGCATCTGAAGAAGCACGAGGTGGATGCGACGGGCGCCTTCGGATACCACGATTCACCGTCGTCGAACGAGGCCGACAACGAGGAGGGCATGTACGACGAGATGCGTACGTTCATGAGCCAGGTCTGCAGACCTAGCCTGGGCAGGACGGATTGCGACACCGAGGAGTATGCGGACAGTGACGATCGTCTGTCCGTATCGACGCTACAATCGGCTACATTGGACTTAACGAGCATCAAGGAGGTCGCCAATGGCAATCACAACAACAACAACAATAACAACAACAACAATAGCACCAGCAGCAACAGCAACAATAATAACAACAACAACAGCAGCAGCAGAAACAGCACAACTAGCGAGTTAATTGCGGTGAGCACTTGAATGCCATTCCGCCAGAAACAGTGCTACCTGCCGCCCGGCGGCGCCACCGAAACTCACTAGCGATCGTTGTTTTTGTTGTTGTTATAGTTGCTGCTCATGTAATTTTAAGTAATTTAAATGTAATTGAATTCGCATTTGATAGCATGTTGCGAAATGTTTAGGCACTAAGCATTGTTGTTGTTGTTGAGGCTTGAAAAACAGAAGAAACCCCAAAAGAAGAATGAGAGGCGACCAGAGAGAGAGAGAGAGAGAGAGAGAGAGAGAGAGATTGAGTCTCTCTCAGAAGCAGAAATTAACGTAAACTTTACTTAACTTTACTTACATAAGTGTGCCTCCGAGAGGGAATTCAAAAATTCGTAATCATAAGTAGTTCACAGTTATCTAAATAATACATATAGAAGCCATTTTGTCTTTAGATATATATGTATGTATGTATGTATGTATTTATCAATGTACATGTGTAAAAAATTACTCGTAGTTATGCAATCAATGGAAAAAGACGGTGAATGCGAAATGTTAAAGAAGTTTCAAAACGCTCTGATATTATCACTAAAATTTCAATAATCTACCAATAACTATAAATCTACAATTTAAAGTTTAAACTTATATATACTATACATACATATACACGAAACACTTTGTAGTTATTTGTATTTGTACTTTTTATTACTATTACTCACATGCATAACATAACTATACATATACATATATATATATAATAAATCGGTTATGTGCTGTAAATTGTCTAGATAAAGCATTTGTATATATGGCAGGAATTTCTAACTACTTATTACCAACGGATGTATTACAACAACAACAATATGGAAATTTTGAGTGTGTGTGTGTATACCCCTAGGCTATGCTCTAATTTTAAATATATATTTATAGTGCTAATTATTGCAATTCTCAACAAGTTTTATAACATTTACTTAACGTTTAATAAGAGGAATCGTTATGGAAAAGAAAAGTCAATAAAAATGAAACAATCACATTGAAATCACAAACAATTTTACTCTTCAACGGGGTAGTGGCGCCAAACCAGAGATGAAATGGATATAATACTGGAAAGAAATGCTCTTTAATCCGTTAACAGGGGGCTAATCAAGCTAGCAGGAATCCCACAATGTGAGTTCGTTCCTGAGTAGACACTCGGTTTCTAAACCTTAAAGAAACCATAAAGTTACCCTAAAACCCTTATCTTTTTTCTTTCATTCAGCATTACTTCAATTCACAGTGGTCCTATAAATATAATAATATCAGATAAATAAAAATCAATGTTTAATAAAATTATATTAAAGAATCTCACGTAGCTGAATGAAAAGAGAAGTTTTCGAAAGAGTGAATTCTGTTGAGAGCAGATCGTTGATTTTTTTTAGAAACAAAAGTGATTAAGGAAATTGGGGAAAACCAAATTACAAAAGAAACAACTATGCTTATAAGAAGGAATTCTTTACTAGAAACAATGAAACCAAAAACATTTATGTCTTTTGGACCCGAAGTCTGAACCTAAAATGATGGAGCTGCACTGAAGGGAATGGAAAGAAAAAAAGAAATTGTAGCTGGGTCTTAATAGGATGTTTTATGTTGGTGTATCCTTTTTTATATTCATGTTCGACCGCACAATACACTTTAATCAAGCGTAATCCATTTCCCAGTTTTATCTCACAAACTTATTCAGACCTTTAGCTTTTCTCTTTAGGAGCTGCGGAGTTCATAGTCATAGTCCAATCCTGAATTGAGCGTTTGTCTCTACTTATAATCTATGTTGGAATGAAACGAATATTTCATAACATAACAAATCTATGAGCATAAGGAAGATTAATTGTTTGCACAGCTTTATTATTGTTAACGATATTAAATGCAAATAATATTTAGTGGGCTGTTATTATAATTGAAAATGTAAAATGGCGATGAGCAAACAAGAAAAACTTGATAATAAATTAATTATAGAGATAATGAAAGTACTGACATAACGGATATATTCAAAGTTTATGTAGAAACAGTTTTAAAATAAAAATCTGAAGCACACAGTTAAGAGTATACAGCTTAAGGTGCAATCATATTTTTTCAATGTTCGATCATTTGCGAATCCCAGATGGTTAGCCCATTGTTAACAAATAAATTGTAGTGAACAATTTGAAAGTAATCGCAGTTTATGAGGAAATAGCTTACCAGATAATGAAGGGTATTTAACTTCGAAGCTAGTTTATTCTAATTGCAGCTATTTTATTTTATTTACTTTATGGCTCTTTAAATTGCCAATTCACACCGCTTTATTTCACAATAAATTTCAAACAATTTAAAAGTTCAGCTACTTAGCTTAAATGAGCTCATAAGTGCAAAGACGTTATACTCCCATCAATCCTGCCGACACCAAAACGGTGGCCAGCCTCAAAATATAATTTAAACGCATTTGCCTACCAACTGCCTTCGTTATTATTCATCATTCGCAACACATTCATAGAGTGGCGAAAAAAAAAATAAAAAACTTGGCAAGACAAATAGGAAAAAACAAAAACTGAAACTTATAGCTTTTTAATATACAAAGCCATCCATCTAAGCAGCCGATGCCGACCCACTAGCCATCTATACAGCCAGTCAGCCAGCCAGCCAGCCATCCAGCCATCCAGCCAGCCATCCATCCATCCATCTATACTATATACATCCATTTATCCATCTGCTTTGAATGCAAAGGCGTGATCGGGCAAAGCGAGTTAATTACCCTTCCGGTTTAGAGTGTGTTACGCCTTCGGCGAAATGCGGTTTAAGACTATAAGCCACGAATACTTTTCATTTTTTGGTTTTTTCTTCTTCTTCTTCTTCTACTATTACTCGATTTTTTTTCTCCCTCCGTTGTGCCATTGTGGAGTTAATTTTTGTGTTTTGTTTTTGTTTTTGTTGGTGCGCTGCTTTGTTTTTAACAGAAAATTTAAATTGTATTAGCCGGCGCTGTAGTATTGGCATCAATCATATTTTTGCCATAACCATTGGAATTGCGGCGACGGTGGTAACGGTGGCTACGGTGGCTACGGTGGCAACCTGTGCACATAACCACCGACCGTTACTCGAGGCAGTCCGAGCAGAGTCCGTGCGCGGCATACAAAAGATCTACAAAACACCAGTATGTGCGAGTATATGTGAACGTATTTGCGGTTGTCGATCACTTTCGATTATGCGCAACAACAACAACAACAACAACAGCAACTTTTGGCAGTCGGTAGCCAAAATAATAATCTTCGAGTTGGCCACAATTGCCTCCGCTCTGCTCTGCTCTGCTCTGCTCTACTCTGCCAAGATCGGCTCTACTCGCACTTGCGAGTACTCTCCGATCCATTGGCCCGTTGCTGGCTGGCCCTGACCACAGCCAACTTCCACAATTGTGGCAAAAATTTGAACGCAACGCAACGCAGCGCCAAACTATGGCCAAATTATGTTAAATTTGTGTAGAAAACAGTAGATAATTGGTAATTGGTTTCGTTTTAGTTGCCCGGCCCGCTCCGGCTCGAGAATATCATGGCATATTAGTGAGTTATTTGGCCGGTTTCAAATGGCCTTTGGGCGTTAATTGAAGAAGGTATAATTTGCCAAATACAATTCAATACAATATACGAGTATTACTTAATCATAGGTTCAGTTTATAGGCACAGTAAATGGTTGTATGTGTGTGTATGTGTGTGTGTGTTACAGCCATACCCATAATCGTGTCAATGGCAAGTGGGGCAAGTGGGGGAAAAGCATGCGGAATGCGTGCAAGGTTAAATATTTGGTCGAGTGGTTGGTGGATGGAAAATGTTGGCAAATCAATTTGAAGATAAAGCATTGGGGGAAATTTGAGATCTGTTTCATCTGCTTGGCTCGATTAGCTTAAGTAAATGGAAAAAGAGAATAAACAGCTTTTGTATTAAATGACTTTAAAAACGCAGGAGCTTCTCAATTCTTCTGCATTTCCTGCTTGTTCATTGATCTTTTCATTTTTTAAATGCTCCGTTTTATAGAGAATAGTCAGCTACCTCTACTAAAACTATATACATGTGTGCTACCATCTTCCCACAAGTTAATGTAACGTATAGACAAATTGCGTTAATTGTGTAGATTGATAACATTCTTTATATCTTTAAAATCAGCCAACTTTGCCTCTAAGTCTTCTATTCTTATTCATTTAAACTTGGAATTCTAGTCCCGCGGTTGATACCATCTGAGTCGCCTTTAAGTCTTCTATCTTTATTATTAGAGTCCCCATTCTAGTCTAATAAGTCAGGTCTTGAGATTAAAATTGAAGCCCACTTTCCAGGTTTCTTATAAGTAGTAAGAAGATTCACATAAAAACAAAAGTAAGTTGAAGAAGCAATCGAGGCATAAATAGTTATTTGCGGGTTTTTTCCAGTTAAGACAATAGGTGTTTTGTCTGCTTAAAGTTTGTAAATTATAGAAAATATATTAAAAACCAGTCAAGTTCAACTGAAATAATTGATATCATTTTTATTTTGTAACATTTTTTCCATGCTTTCTTAGTTTACAAGGTATTGCTAATATTCGTCTATGTCGACAGAGCATATTTATATTCACGAAAAAAAAAAGATGAATAGAAAAAAGTCCTAAGCTCATTTATATAAGATGCATAGAAAACAGACTAGATTGCCAGGAATCTGGAGAAACTATCTTCTCAAGAAGATAATATTGAAAATCATACTCATGAAGCACAATCCAATTCTTTCAAATTATATCCATACATTTATTTGTTAGGTCTTATAAATAAAAATTAAAATAAATTAAATTAAAATTGAAAATGTTGAATTTAACATAATTTTTAGACATCAGGAGTGATATCAGGGCTTGGTAAATCGATCGACGATGGCGGTCTTCTGCTGAACGAAGAGCCCTGGCTTGCACTTTATTTTCAGTTTTAATCTGAGCTGAGCGATTATTTTAATGAACGACTTGTACTTGTTCTGCGATCAACACTTGCTTGATTACATTGCATTCAGCGGAGCTGACCTTTAAAATTAGTTTTATATGACCTGCTTGCTTACACCCTTTTGCAAAAGAAAAGCAAATCACTACGAGTATATAGTAGGATTCGGGAGGAAATCACCCGACACATTATGATAACAAGCATGTTCGAATTGGAGCCACAGCCTGGCTGGCGATCCCATAGAGAATCCATAAAGTGCAGACTAAGCAACTGTTGATTATGTGCCTGTTACACAAATGGCCTTTGTTGCGCCCCAAATACACGCCCATCCCAAAAAGTGGCAGTGGGTGCCCGAGCCGATGCCAGAGCCAGTGCCAGAGCCAGTGCCTTGGCCCAAAATGCACATCAGTGCGCACATTAGGATTAGGCAGCACCGTTAAACGCTGCAGAGCATGGCGCAAGACTTTCGAAATAAAAAATAGAAAGATACCTTAACGGGCAAACGGATGCAAAGCAGCAAAATGTAGACACAAGCCGAGGGGGCCTTAAATCCATCCAATGAGCTGGCTGGCTGGCTGGCTGGCAACCGACATCACAGCTAATGGCACAATTATAGCAACGAAATCAAACGAACGGAAGACGTGAAACGAAAAGCAAACCAACAGAATCTAGCCGAAGGATATCACGCGTATCCCATTGATCCATGAAGACCTACATAGCATCGACGCGCCGGGCACTGCAGCGTCTAACTGTAGTTCATAACTT